TATTACTGTGCAAGAGACACAGTGTGGGGAAGTGAATCTGCAATCAGCCAAAAACCCTCCTAGTCATCTTCAGCTCTGCAAGTGGATACAAAAGGCACAGCTTGAGTGACAGGAAATCTAGACATGGGAGAACTGCATTCTGGCCCTGCCCTCCAATTGATTCCAAACCATTGCCTGTCTTCATGATGAATATCATGGGAAATTCCAGGCCTTTTGCCTTCTTAATAGGAGGGGAAGTGCTGGGATGATGGGGTCAAGCTCAGCAGACTACGTCACAGTGACATTTGTGATCTCCTTCCCATGCTCAGCCCAGCCTTCCACGGCAAGCTGAACCATGGGGAAGTCTCAGGTCTCACCTGGAATGGAGGGTGTGCAAGAGGCAGCCTCTCCCTGTATTAGGGCCGGGCACAAGCAAAGTCTGAAGTGCTTGGCAAAAGAGAGGGCACCACTGGTGCAGGCATGTGTCTTACTTCCTGAAGAGCTGCATAAGAATGCTGGGCACGCTCCCCAGGATCTTGGACTCCGGACTATAGTGAAGCATTCCAGAGCCTGGGGAGCTGAGCACATGCAACCCAACCCACAGATTCTCACCCATTATGCAGGTTTTTCACACATCCCTAAGATGTGCTGGAATTAGTTCCAGGACAAAGTTCTGTTTGCATCAGAGGACACCAGAGGCTCATCATTTACTTGGACTACTTACTGTGGCAAAAGTGTACAAGCTTCTGCAAATGCTCCTGGAAAACACTTTGAGCTTCTGAAAAAATGCTTTGATCAATAAAGAATGTTTTGCAAGAAGGAGCTGTGGCTTTGGATGTGCAGTGGAGGCGGTTTCCCAGCTTGCAACAGGCTCCTTGTTAGCAAACAGACATTCTTTCAGTAGAAATGGAGAATTGCTTCCTCGAAAACAGCTTTCTTAGACCCAGCGGCAGCTTCCACCACTTCCGAAACTATCCATTTTCCTTTTTTAAAATTTCTTTTCACATGTGACAAATACTCATTTCATGCCATCTCTTCCACTCATGGGTTCATTCAGGAACCATTAGATCTGACTGTGGACTGTTATGTTTCTTTCACTGATCTCAAACATCAAGGAGGTGCTTCCACACTAGGGGGCAGCAATGACACATGGATCAGAGACTGAGGAGATAAGATGGGAACCAGAGCATGCAGTTTTCTGCATTTGACCATGAGGCTGCTGACATCCTTTTCATTCTGTATGAAAAGAAATACGCCACTTGTCTCTTGAGAGTTCAACTGCCTAGGAGACACCACACCTCCCATTATTCATCCTGAACAGCAAAGAGAGCTTTGCATGTAGGTTTCTCATGGTGGAAAACAATTAAAACAAGAGACAAGAAAGAAGAATGTCTCAAATTGTGTGTGTGTGTGTGTGAGAGAGAGAGAGGGAGAGAGAATGAGAAAGAGAGAGAGAGAGAGTTTACTCCAACCTTCAAGAAGAAGGGCTCCTGTCAGAACTCTGCTAATTGAAGCTGCCCAAATGTTATTTTAGATCAAGAGAAAGAGACTTGTCAAGAGCAGATGTACATTCAACATGAATAGGCAAACAGGGAATCCCTCAAGGAGTTTCTTGTGTTCTTTAATTGACGTCCTGGAGCTGTGGCTACCAACTGCTCTTCATCTTCCCAGACTGAACTCCTTTGTCTGACCCCTTTATCCTGCTCGGTATGTAAATTCAGAGGCAGCTTCCCCTTTAAAGCAGGCCTGCAATCTCCCTGCCCCAAACACACCCACAGGCCCTGCTTCCAGACGTGTGCAAATACTGCTCAGATGAGAAGGAGGGAAGATGGGAGTTTGGCTTCAGCGTGTGTTGTTCTTGGCAGTCTTTGGAGGTACTTGTTCTGCTTTCCAATACTGAGGAATAGCATTACCCAGGAGTTCATGTGCAACAGGTCTTTTTACGCTGTCTTTTGTTCCAGGTGTTCGATCAGATATCCAGCCAGAGGGGATGTGATAAGGCCTGGCGTGCCTCTCTGGCTCACTTGCAAAGGCTCTGGCTTCACCTTCAGCAGCTTTGGCATGAGCTGGGTGAGATAGGCTCCGGGAAAAGGCTTGAAGTGGTTGACATACATATATTCACCCACCATTCACATCTCAGACAAAGTGAAGGGGCGATTCACCCCCTCCAGCAATGATTCCAACAGCCTGCTCTATTGCAAATGAACAACCTGCAAGCTGAAGACACAGCCATCTCTTACTGTGCAAGATACCCAGTGAGGGGAAGTGAATCCACAAACAGGCAAAAACCCTCCTAGTCATCTGCAGCTCTGCTAGTTGGTTCCAATGCCACGGTATTCATGGAAGTATTATACACAAAGGGGAACAATATTATAAGCAAAGGAACTACTTGATGGTTGTGTTCTCCAGGCCTGCTTGGAATATATGCACACCTGCAACCAGAACCTTGGAAGCA